ACCGAACTGAACCCCAAGGTCAGAAGAAGCCTTTCTTCAGTTCTTTGGAGAGGGACGCAACCTTTGCTGCCCGGATGTTCAGCCTCTCAAGGTAGCCCCTATCCCAGCCAGGAGCCTGAAACTCGGTGAAGCGTAGACCCGAGGTACGTCTCTGGTTTGAGACTGCTCTGAGCCCTGAAAAGGAAGAGAGAGCGAGCAGGGGGAGGGCTCAGCCTGAAGCACCTTCGCATTTTCCCCTCAGTAATGAATCTTTCCGGTGGTTTGGGGGTCGAGTCTCTAGCATCTCAACTGAGATGTTCATAGATGTTAGCACTGCTCAGAAAACAACGGGATGTTTTTTCTACTACATACTCAGAGAAGTTTGGTCCTAAAAACACAGAGCCCTTACTCTAGAAATAACACTCCAGCTCCGGAGTGCTGCACACGGTGAGAACTTCTGCTCGAACCCTTCAGGGTCTGTTCAGACAGCGGCACATTTGGTCACTGCATTCAGTTTGACCTGCTGCACCATCTCTCAAAATAAAGCCCACGTCTCCTTTCTACACGTTGTAGGCAAACGCTGCAGCCTGAGGAAGGACTGGCGGTTATCGTCAGGAATACCCCAGCCAGTGCTCACGCGTGGATCAGAGAAAAGCAAAAGCCCGTACTCTGCTTGCTGTGTCTCCGCTCCATGATTCACAGCCATGCCTCTTCAAAACTGATAAACGTATTTAAGGGCAAAAAGTTATTGAGAGAAGCCCTCCCGCTTGGAGAACCTGCACGTTACAGTTGAATTTGAGGCTGCCATTACCAGCACACGGTTTCCAATACACGCCTGTTTGCTGCAGGAACAGAAAGAGAACAAGAGACGAATCGTCTCTGCGATCTTGCTAGCTTCTCTCATTTTTCCTCCACTGTGCAAGTCGGAGGCTCTCTAGACCAGCTTCGGTAAGGCTTGGAAGTGGAAAAGGTGCCAGACATTGCACCCCAGGAAACAGCTATGAGAGGATTTAGAGTAAATGTGTAAGGTAAACATCTGCCCTTATTCCTATTGCTCTCGGAGATCCGCAGTTCCTGTCAGTGCTGCGGAGCAGAAAGGCACAACGACACATCTGCAGTCCCGGGACACCAAGTGTCCCGGGGCAGCACCTATGTCCTTGGCACTCCTTGCAGAACCGATGGTGACACCAAGGCCAGGCGCAAAGGGCAGCAGGGAGGCGAGAGGGGACGTGCCAGCTCCGTGCACGCACCGTGGAGCGGCAGGAACGGCTACTGCGGCTCTGCAGAGCGCAAACAGGGAGTGGGGAAGGCCTCCTCCCTGCCACGGCCCAGCCCCTAAGAAAGCTTCCATCTCTTTACATGGCCAGACACGTTTGCTAATTCCTTTTTCTTTCCAAATGCATTTTTCTCAGCGAAGGAAGCTGAGAAACACCCTGAGACAGGCTCAGACGGGGATCGCAGGCCCAGAATTAGCTGCTGGGGGACCCACGGGCCTGTTCTAGCCAAGAAACGGCCACTACAGCTTTCCCGTCGGTGCCTGGTGGTGTTGCCTGCAGCCAGTGATGAAAACCCCTCTGCCCTTCGTTGCCCTCCCCTGTCCGCTGCCAAACCCCCGAGAAGTGGCAGCAAGCCTTCTGGAATTCTCTCAAAACCACCCTTCAAAAAACACGACCCGTTTGGGGGTTGGGTTTTTTGGAGGTGGAGGGGAGAGCTGTGCGGTCTGCCTGCACCGTTTGCAGCTCTGCCATGACACAGTTTGCTGTACAACCTGCGCTTGTGCACACATGACCTACAAACACAGCAAAATTCATGCTCAGCTCCAAAGCTCTCAGCTGGTGCAGCGTGTCTCGGTGCAGCAGGCCAAAGCATCCTACTTTCCCGCTATGCTGCCAAAAGCTGTAGAACTGAAGCAGAGCTGCACCTTCCCAGGACCACCCCCGTGCGGGTCCCAAAATAGAAGCCAGCTTAAAAAAAAAGCCCTCCGCACAGAGAAGCCTGCATACTGGGGCATCTACGCTCAGAACTTCAAAAGTTCTCTGTAGCTGAGCTACTGAGGCTCTGGCGCTTGTTTGTTATCAGATCCTTCCTGGACTTATTACCCTGTTTCTCAGAAGAAATTCTGGTCCTGTCTGGGAACACGTTTTTGCAGGGGCTCCCTCTGCAACACGTACCAGCAAGTGGGTGCTGTGCGTGCAGCAGCTGCAGGCAGCACCCACTCACCCAGGCTGCTATGTAGATTATGTTGCTGACATTTCCAAATCCTTCTGCAGGATAATTGCCTTTGCTAAACAGATTGGGGGAAAAAAATACATACATACCATGCTGCCTTCACATTCTCCTACTTTTGCACACGGTATCTGAATCCTCAGCACTTCTATGTTTCCCTATTCCTCTTCTCAGGAAAAACAAACAAAAAAAAGTAAATACGGCAAAAAAAACTGACCTAGGGTGGCTTGGGGCAGTCAACTTGTCTCTTGCACGAAGGGTTCTTCAGTGACTAACTCAGAGTATCTGAAAGAATCGGTTGCTAAATCATCTAGAGGTTGTATGTGCAAGACACTTGTCTTTCTATAATTTGTCTTTGGTTTTCGGTCTCTTTTTTCAGGTTGAGTTTGGTGGTCACTTTCAACTTGCAAGAGGAAGTTAAGAGCTAGACCAAGGCAGTACAAATGAGAATGCAGAAGGGGCTGTTACGGAGAGATGAGAACACCCCTAGATTTGCGTGCCCGAGAGCAGATGATGGGTATGCAGCTTCATAAGGAGAAGACACTTCACAGGTACAAGATGTGGCTCAGTCCCAGCCCTTCTGTCGTGGCAGCCTGATCTGATCAGTCATTATACGAGAAGTCAAAAACAGAGAGATTCTTGGGAAGCAACCCTTTTGCAGCCTGTGCTCCCTCATGGTTTGTTTTGGGGGATCAGAGCTGGTTGAAGAACCGCTGCTCCTGCAGGCTGGATCTTCTCCTGATGAGGTATCGGCAGCAAGCGACACTGAGCAACTTTGCTGAACCGTACTACTGGTGCTATCAGGGGCCACAGGTTAGCAGGCGTCTTTTGGGCAAAAGGGCCACTGTCAACATGCTTTTCACAGCGTAGTCATCTGCTCCCTTTTGAACTGCACACAAGATACACCGCATGGACTGCTTTCAGCTGGCACCGTCCCCCCACACACACTCACTTTGAAAGCACATTTTCATCCTTCCTCTTCCTCTGGAATACCACAGCAATCACTGTTCTCTACCCCAGTATCAACGGGTTCAGAGCAACTGCCCCACAGCTAGCAAAGGAAGAGAAAGTCAAGTCTTACTCACGCTCAACACCATTCACAATCCATAACGCTCTTAGCTTTGAGGTAGCAATTTAGCATCGCACCAGAAAGATTTGCCCGGGATCTAGCCCACTGTTTGCAAGGGAGTCGCAGTTGAAGGCAAAGGTTTTGCAGAAAACAAGTCATTAATTTCCACAAAGAACTTGAGTGACATATTGCTGAAAGAGGAACAACAAAGCCACTTCCTCTAGGCTGCATATCCCACCAACATCCTTTCTCAGGAAAGTTTTGGTTGGGAGAGACATTGTGTCATCAGGAAGCACAGGGTTTTTACATATTATTTTACAATAGAAAAATATATTTCTTTTAACTGGAGACACAGATCTACAACTCACCTGCTTTGCAGTCAGGAACTTCAACGTACCTGCAATTGACAGCCATCGTAGAGCTGCTAAAGGTTTTGAGTTACATCTATTCCCTAAACACCTTTACCCATCATCATATGACAATTTCTATAGCTGAGCAACAACTCAGGATGGCAGTTTTATGAGTTCAACTACATTTAGCCCTGTTTAGCCAAGTAAAGAAATACACAGTCCAGAATGAAACAAAGCAATTTATTGGTAATGGCACATCAAAGTCAATGGTAAACTTATAACACACATGTAAAAGGAGACTATTTGACCAATGCCACATACAGACAGGAAGCAGAAAACAGCAGCTCTTTAGGTACTGAGCAGACATGAATCCCACTGCTCTCTGCCATCCATTACTGGACAAAGCTGGTGAAAGAGAAAGTACTCTTTCTTACCGGGCAGTAATGATGCATGTTTAGCCATTTCCCTAAAAGGGTACCTAGAAGAAGAGAGAAGGAACATGACTGTTCTTCTGAACGCAGAACATTCCTTTGGATACTGCTCGAGTCAATGGTTGAGGTAGATGGGGTTATGTTTCCCCTGACACAGAGTCCCCATTTGCACTTCTGATTTTAAAAAATTAGTTTTATATGAATTGTGCTTCACTTCAACAAGTAGAAGATTTACCTGGTAATGCAGCTGTTGGACAAACAATAAAAAAGAAAGGGAAGATAAAACACAACAATGTAAGGTAACATTCCTGTACAGGTGGTGACTTAAAAATGGATCAGAAAACAGTAGGAACAAAATGGTGATCCTGTAATTAAGTGGCAGATTAAATCAACAAACACTTATAAAGCAGTAGGTTCTCTTCGCTCCAAGACAAAGGAGGCCATATACCAACTTAATCAAACTTGTTTAAGTCCTTTGCAAATACGTTCCAAAAAAAATGAGAAGAAAACATTGTCAGTGCCCAATGCTGATCCCCTTGGAGAGCTGACGTCATTCTGGAGCAGCCTGTGCTTCAAGCAATTCAAATTCAAGGGCGCAGGAAAGGAGGGATGTCACCAATAAGAAAGGAAACAAATTTGCAACCAAACTAAGAAACACGCATTATCAGACCGCTGGTAGGAAACAGGCTGTGCAGCTGTAGGCACTGAGGTTTCTGTAGGCACCGGAGAAGTGAGGTTAAGATATTCCCCCCCTCAATAAATTAGAAAGAATGCAAAACTCATTATTTTGTTCTTAAATCAAAGTGAATTATCCCATTGGCATTATTCTTCCAATATTAGAGCAGGTCCTTCAATCCGCACTGGTTATCCAGCAGCCTTCGTACCTATCTAGCCATGATTTTCAGTGCTGTAATTTTGTTCTTTATCCATAGCTTTGGTCTTTCATCAGTATGGGTCTTCCTCATCCGTGTCCTAAACAGGGAGTACAGAGAGAGAAATTGAGACTATGTACGAAGACATGAACCAAGATCTGAGTTCAACAGAACTGTGAGTCTGCCAGGCTGCTGATAAGAGCTAAAATGCTTTCCAAAATGCTGCTGTGCTTGAATAAGCCATAGGACTTGCAGTTTCTATCAGCATTTGCAGCTAAATCTGCTTGACTTATCACAGATACACAGGTGAATTGCCACCACAGAACCATCACGTGAAGTGTGTTTTAAGAGAAGGAGCAGCTAAAGCTCAAGCAAAAGACAAACCATAAAGTGCTGACAGCCGTCCTCTGAAAAAGCACAACCTACAGAGGAGGTCTGGTGCAGCACTAGTTCTTGTTTTTCAGCTACGACCAACCACATACTTTCAGATCCCCATCGTCTATTGTTTTAACCACAGTAATCATTCGATGGCGTCCCCACAATTCAGCTCTGCAGCTCTCAACTTGAAAGCAACGCAAATGTAACAGCTCTATAAGGGAAAATCTCACTACCTTTCCAGCCATTTTAAGTCCAAACAGATTTTCACTGGCTTTGCAATTTTAATTATTTGGTAACATATTAAGCTTGAAAAAGTACATTACAGAAACCTCAAAAATGTAGAATCATTGAAGTGAGTGAGACAGGATGTTCAGAGACTTGGTAAGCTAAATATTTGATGTGAGAGAGCAAAGTATCAACCAGATGAAAAAATACTTGACATGAAAGCAGCAGGATTATAGCATTCAAATTTCCCTCCTCTCAAAGGATGAGAAGACATTTTTCAATTTCTAAAGTCTCCAACTGTCTGACAACATTTGGGGCTCCCATCCTCTCCCATCGCGCCCCCTGCAGTAAAGCGATGGTGCCTCCCTGCTCCCCAGCATGTCACCTGCAACAGCCTTTCCGTCTCCCGTGGCAACTCTCCCTTTTGCATAAAGCATTTTCTGCTTTCTGCACCTCTCAAAACTTTTTCTAGGTACTGCTGCATTGTAACTGCTGTGTCTTATGTAGAATCGTAAATATTTCCTACGTAACTTGGGTAATTGCTCGTTTTTCATTCTGTATCTAATAACGCGTAGAAACCATCAGCACACACCTATCACGCACTTATTGCATTTTAAATCACTGACATTAGAATATTGAATCAAGCAACACATATTTAAAACCTCCTTAACATACTTCCTGACCGTGTATAAAGGATGTAAAGGTGCATCTGAGGTAGCTTGCTCTATAGGACATCAGGAACAAATGAAAACACTCTCAAATTAGGCATATTAGTGAGCTTACTCTGGAATGTGCCACACTTACAGCTGTGGCTGCTAATGCCTGCACACAGAAATTGGATGCACGCTTTACAAAACAAGGACAGCAGGTGGCAAAAACATTCAGGAGTTCCAGCACAACACATCTGATTAACAGAAGCTTGCTGACAGGGTAGCAAGCGAACCAGCAGAATTAGAAGACAACCACTGCTTCACAAAACAAAACAAACAAAAGGCCAGAAACAAACAAACCACAAGAGTTTAGCAATATCGTGTTGTCACGAAAACAGTGTAAGTAGGAAGATGCCCAGAAAAGAGGCAAGGCTGCACACTACCAACTTTGCAAGAAACAGTGGAATGTGGCATCACTGCCTCCATTCCCCACCACAGCGCTGCCAAACCCCAAACCGGTTTTGCAGAGCCTGTGAAGAAACCCTGCAGCATAGTAGCTAGCACTTAAACTTCTGAATTTTCATCCTAAAATGTCAGCTTTGATTTCAATAGTCAAAAGAAAAGTCAGTTTGGTGGATCTGAAGATAACTTCCCCTACCAGTAATGCAGTATGACCAGCAGTTCTAACCCCCTATCGCCCATAAGCGGAAAACACCACGGAATCCCAAGCCTAGCCATTTGGGACACTTTGACATCCAGAGGTGTTATGACAAGTTCTGCTGCTCTTGGCACCTCCTCTGAGCACCGAAGTTGACAAACCCACCAGCTTTCACTTACCACACAGTTCAGACACCAGTTTCTGAGTTTCCCCAAGCAGCTGTCTGTCTCGGTACCTTCAGGCCTGCAGAAAAAGCAGCAGATTAGGATAGACTTTTCCCCCAACACACATACTTTTATCTCCTACGGACTATGAATTTTAGTTCTACCACACTGAATTGAAGGCTTTTCATTGTGATGAAAAGCCTTTGACTCTGCACAGCAAAACCAAAAAGAATGAAGGATGTCAGGTCCCTTATTCTGAAGGCAGACATTTGACTCAAGTGCCATGAAGAATACAAGAGGTGCTGTTTGGCTGGCAAATCTTACACCGCTAATCAGAACATGGTGTTAAAAACCAATTCTGCAAGAAATTGTAGTACCGAATTCATTACAAAAACAGGCGCAGCTCCAGCAGGAGCAGTGTTACCTCATTGTTCTCACTACTGAACCTTTCCAGAACAGAGTCCTCTCCAGTTCAGAAGGGAATTCAGTCCCCAAGGCTCATTCAGTACCTGGCATCTCCGCTCAGGCCACCACAGGGGAACCGGTTACCATTATTCAGTTTGGGTTTCTTGTTACGGATACTTCATACCAAAATGCAACACAAAGCCCACATAAGCAAAATATCTTGCTGATTTAGGCTGAAATAAATCCGATTGCAGAAGTGAGACTGTCTAACCCTAAACTGCTTCAGTTCCATGGCCTCACACAAAAAGGGGGATGTACAGCACTCGGTTTATGCTCCAACGTGGGGATTTTCCAAAGCTTTCTGACCACTGGCTAAATTATGCTCAAGGAGAAGTAATTTCAGTGACTGAACTGCAGATGCTGAGAGCTATGAAATGAAGAACAGTGGAGAAACTGTCCTTTGGCCTGTCTCAACAGGCCAAAGTAGAAATACAGGCTTTAGTTTCCAGCCAGAACTTACTCATCAGACACTTCGATGGAGGATTTCTTACAGCCAGATTTTTTTTTCTCCTTTAGCACTCCAAATTTTCTTCCCATCCTTACCAACAGCAGAGTGACCACAATGACGGAAGGGAGAAATACTAAAATGGACAGCAGCGCAGCTGAAGTTAGCTGGAAGGAAAGGCCTGCAGGAAAGACAAAGAGCAGCGCAGCTGTACCAGTAGTAACATACGGCTTTCTTAAGTCTCTGTGACGAATGTTCATCCAGGACACAGGTTGTTAGCCTCTTCATATAAAGCACAGAGCTGGCAGATTTGCAACAGCTTGTCGCTGAATCTGTAGGATTCCTATGGCATATCCAACACAGCAGGGTGCTTTATATGCAAAAAACGACAAAGGAAGGCAGGTCACGACATAGTTCCATCAGCATGTCTAAGCTGCAAATTTGGGGCAGGTCTCACACGCAGGGCAGATGAGGAAACTAAGTATTACTAAGAATCAGTGTGTGTGACGTGACAGTTATTTTTAGACCAGTATTTCCTAAACGTTTAACTTGTTCTGCTGCTGCAATATGTGGAGACCGGAACTCCTTAACAAATGCACACTTTTGATTTCTGTTATCACCACAGCTTCCTCTGTCCCTTCCTGCCCGCAATGAATTCAATCGTTCTCAATGTATTTAGCTCAGACAGAAGGGCTGAGGTAACCCTTGCTGAAATTCTAACGTGGAACTCCAGGGAACCCATTTCACACGTGACGCTCAGGCTTCTAAGATGCTGACAAAGCTGCGATGCAGCTGTATCACACAGACGAGGCCGTGCTAGTGAAATGGAGCCTTACCCCTCTCCGTAACTATCAGCATTGTCTGGGGAATGTTATGGTACGTGTCTGGAGGATTCTTCACGCTGCAGATGAACGTCCCGTTGTCACTCATCACTGGGCTTTGGATAGCAATGGAAGCATCACCCTTGGCAACATTCCCAACCCAGGATATCCTGTCTTTGAACTTTCCCACTGTTGTTGGGTATGGAACAGACTGATAATGAAAAATCTAAAAGAAGGCAAAGACAAGAATTGCGCCAATAAAACACTCGCCTAGGAAAGCAAAGTAAACTACTTCTTGGATTGTAAACATAAAGGCATACATATTAGGAAGTCAGAAATAATGCTTCTTATATAGGAGACCTTTTCAAGTGCTTATTCGATAATTCTGATTCGGTCCCATTTCATTAGATCTCCAATGCTTTTATCTACCAGCCTCAGCTCTCAGATGTCACCATCACCATTCTGACCGACTCGTTCCCTTCTGCAGACCTTCAGTTGAGAAGCAGGGCAGCCTCCTTGTCTCGTGCAAGACAGAACATTGCAGTTCTTCAGGTTTTGCTTCTTGCACTTTTGCCCTTGCTGTCCTATGAGTAGAAACTTAGCAGACCTCACTTCATAGAAGCAGTACCCTTTTGTTCCAGATACAAGGACACTCCTAAGAGTTCAAACTCTTCAGGCAGCAGCAGTCACTGATAATCCGTGAAGATGTGCATTTCCTGTTTCCACCTTGAATGAGAGATTTCCAGTGGGCTTTCAGACTTATATATTTATGCTTAGATTTCAAAATGCTGCCAACAAAACCAGCAAGCAGCAGCCGGTAAATCCTAGAGGCTGTCATCATCACTGTCTTCAGACTGTCATTGCAAACATGTTCTTACCACTCCAAGATATATCAGCAGTAGACTGCACAACAGAACTACCAGGGTACAGCTGCCCTCACGAAAGCCACCAATCCAATGCTTCGCAGGCATTCTATACATAGCTACAGCGTACGATGCAGCACTTTTGTCAAAAGTCAAATTATCTACTTTATCATCAGCATGCTGTTATGCATTTACATAAAATATTTTTGCCCAAAGAACACTAAAGCAATTTCACATGGGAAAGAAGGCGACGATGAGAGTCCCAAACCCCAAAGTGATAAAGAAACACAGCAAGGCAAACAGAAAAAATATCATTGGATTTTCAGCATGCACAGAGGCCTAGTCAGTCTCCGCTAGAAAAAGACTCCCTGTTCCACTTACTGTCTCCATCTGACCACTTGTGGCGGGACGGTATGTCCAGTCTATTGTCAGGCTCTCCGTGATGGGAGAACTGGATTTGAATGAGCATTTCAGCGATACTTGTTCGCCAATGAAAGCTCGCACTTTAGGAGGAAACAAGCACAAAAGACAACAATTAGATTCTTGTTATCTGTGAGGCTCAGGGGTGATGATGTCCTAAAGGTATCGAAGCATGTGCAGCTCAACCGAAGTCCAAAGACTGAAGCACAGTAGTGACTATCTCCCTCATAATGAAATTCAAAGAAAAGCTGACAACTTGCCTAACCTATTCTCTGTAGGATTTGAACTAGCCCCAGTTAAAGTATTTATCTGGAAAATACCACCAAGAGCCTGCAGATATTTAGCTAGGGAAATAAACAGCTGAGAAACCGAATCAGCTGGCTCTCTGATGTGCTGGCTCCCTGCAAAGTACGGGCTTTAGACTACTAGTTCTGCATGTCTCGCCCCCGAGTGACACAGCCAGTGCCTGCACACACACCAGGGCAAGAGACACCCTGCAGCAGCAAGTACTCTTACTCCTCATTTGCAGTGTGTACAACAACTTCTGCCTCGTTCGCCTGCTGTGATGCTCAGTCAGGGAGGAGGTCAGCCTGCTCAGCATTTAGCAGGAGCATGGTTCAAATCCTCCCTTCCACCTGTCTCCTGCTCCTGGCGCTTACGAAGATTTATTACAGTGACACTCTGCCCAAAGTTTGGCTCGAATTCTCACAGCTGACTCCTGCGCAGTGCAGGCTCAGAAGGCGCAGGCACAGATTTCTGTTCAGGTTTGCCAGTTCCCGGGCGAGTTTCTGCCGTGGCACACCTGTTCCGCAGCTACCGCCAT